GCCGCGTACCGCCGGCCCTGCCGCTCGCCTCACACGTGCCGCCCCGCCCGCGCTTTGCGGCCCCTTCCGGCGGGCGGGGCCCCCCCTTGGCCCCCCGTGCTCCTACCGCGCGCCCATGGCGGAAGCAAGGTACCGTAAAGCGCCGCGCGGGAGGCGGTGGGCGCCACGCATTCCCCCCACCCCCCCGCCTCCTCTCGCCGGCTCTTGGCGGCGGCTGCCGCGCCGCGCCGAGGCGAGGCGAAGTCGTCTCCGTCCCCCTGGGGATGCTCCGTAGCAGTTCCCGTTTGTCCCGGCTCACGCCGGAGCCGTGAAAAGGACGGGCCGCTGTAACGAAAGGCCGCGTCCCCCTCCCCACCCTCCTGTCTTTGCCTCCTGCCCGCCCCTCCGCTGGCCCTGCGGCTCGGCCGGCGGGCCTGCCGCCATCTTCTCGGGCGCAGCTTGCCCAGTGCCCAGCATAAATGAGATCCCGGCTTGAAAATAAGGTAAGGTACCGCGGTACGGGTTCGGCAGCGATGGTGCTGGAGAACACCAGGTGGAGCTGTTACTCCAAAACGATGCAGATGTGACGAGTCGCGTGAAACGTCAGTGCCAAGCGTTTTTTTCATATTCGGGTGTTCAGTAGAGTCATCGCTTCTGAATGGAAAGGGGATCCGTATTCATAAATGTGGCAACTATTACACTTGTGCGATTACAGTAGCTATGACAGGAAGTCAGAGCGTAGTAAATACTTCTGCAATACCACCCATAGGATATTTAACTAAGAAGTAATTAGAGAGAAATTACTTGGTGGAATAAAGCTTTTTCTTCAGTACAGCTGGTGGTAGTACTATTTTTGTTTTATTTGTCTCCTGGGAATTACTCGGCAGTGACTTGCAAGATAGAACTGGCATCGGCAGGATTATGGTGTTTAGTTTTCCTACTCTTTGAAATGTTAACATCGTGCCTGTCAAAATTATGTGAAAATCCTGTGTTTTAAAGGGGGCATGGGGGAAAGAGCGTGTATTTTGAAGCTTGGCTTAAGTCAATATTGCAAATTTGCATGCTCCCACAGCCTGAATGGTTTGCTTCAAGTGTTTGGAACAACCTCTGTAGATATTTGAGACACGTCTGTTCTCTACACTAATTACATTTTCCCGGTTTCTGGTGGTTTCTTTTCAAGGATTAAGACTGTGACCAAGTAAGACATTAGAAAATATATTGCTATATTCAGCTTGGTTGCTATAATACAAACGTCTCCCAGAAAATAAACCAATGAAATTTTTGAGTATCAGCCAGAGATTTCAGGTCAACCAGCTTACAGGTTCAAGCATCTATCTTTCATAAGCGTTCCTTAAAGATCTTCAGGTACCTTAAAACAGGCTGTAATTGTAGAAGATAGTTCTTCGTGTCTCCAGGATATTCCCAAGTGTGTTCAGACTCATGTATCAGCACAGATGTTTCAATGTCTATTTTTTTATGTCTTTTATTTCTCTTCTGGACACTGCTTTGATTCCAAGGAGATAAAAATCATTAAAGAAACTAAAAGATAAAAATTCAGAAAAGTGAATTTGTAACTTCTGAACAAGATATGTAATGTTGAAATTCAGTATTACCAGTCTGTCTCTCTAGTGAACACCTCATCTCAAGATGCAGTTTTACATTCAGATTCTTCTAAAATTGTGTCTTACTCACATAATTGTACATTACTCGTTCAGTATGAGGTTTCCAATTTGGTATCCCAAGTATGTTTTTGGATGCCCTTGAAAATGTGGTTCTGACAACGAGTTTTTTAAACAGAAAGAAGGATGATGCTCTTTGGACAGCAGAAATGAGCGGTAAGAATTCCAGGAGCAAGAAGCGTGTTTCACTGAATAGTCAAAGGCTGGGTAAGATCATCATGAAGTGCCTACAACCTTTTCTTCTTTCACACAGTGCATCCACATGCATTCTCATTTGTCTGTTGAATAAATTTGCTATAGTAATACCAGAAGCAGTGCTAGCATACTTGCACTTAGGGCCAGTCCCTGATGTGGCACTTTTCTGGCACTGGCTTACAGGTCAAGGAGAGCTATGGCGAATTCAGTAGCGCTGAATGCCATACCACTGTTTCATAGCAGACTTTGAAGAAATTAAGAATTGTGGTAAGTATAACAGGAAGTTTAAATTTGGCACGTCTCATATTTTACATAAAGATTCATAGAAGTGTGACAATATGCTTATCTGTCCTAGCCAGAACAAGAGTCCTGTAGTGTCTGTAGTAAAGAAATCAATGAAATTAAGAGAAAAAAAAAAAAGAGAAAAAAAGGCTGTTTTTTATTAATGCATTTGTTAATAGCACATTTATCTGACCATTTTCACATCTAAAAAAATATTTCAGCTCTGTGACCCAATAGATCTGGACTTTGTATTAAGGCAATTGTACTGAAGACTGCAACAATGGAGTGCTGTCTACTGCCTTGGTCAGGATTGCTCTGGTCACTTCAGTGAGCCTCCTTTGACAAGACATCTGAAGGTGCAAAGCTGTAAGAAAAATGGGGTGTAACCACAGTCATAATCTGACTGTTCCAAGGCAGCAGGAGAATAACTACCACAGAAGTCAGGCAAAACTGCATAATTTCATTTTCATTTGTGAATGGTACTGAAGGTACTTTCTCAGTTTCTGAAGACAGCTACATGCACCTTGTCTAAGACTATTCTTTTATAGCTTACATTATTTGTGGAGAAGCAGACAGTTCTGCTGTCCTTGTAAATGGATTGATTGCCATGCCTTTCAGCTGGTGATCCTCTCTGGAGAGAGCACCACTCTTACAGCCTTTTGTTATCTCCCTCTACACCTCCTACAGAATAGAAAACATTTTTTAATCTTTCTTGCCATCACAATGCAGACCTTTGACCTACAGCCAAAGCTATTTGTGTCTCTGCTGCTCCAGCTGCAGTGTGCCAAAGACCTCTTCTCTATATTGCTTTCTAGGCACTACAGGGAAGATGGTCATTAAGTTAGTCAGCAACGCTGGCTATACTTGGCTCTGACTAAGTATATCCAACCCTTTCATAGTGCAAAAAAAAAAAATTATTTTTTTTTCTTTTCCTTACCATCAGCTGATGTGTAGGCTTAACAGAATTTTGCAGCCCAAAAGGATCTCCAAAGATCTAGATCTAAAGACAGCCTGGAACTGGTTGCTCCTAAGTGGTGAGCAATGGCAAGGTCAGCTACTCCTGCTGCCATGCTGGAGTTGGAAAGGGTGGTGACAGCACATCATGTTTTATGAGTGTCCATCCATTTCCTGGACTACGCCATAGCCAAGGAGGCAGTGGAGCCACAGTATTTCACTGCTGCCCCCTGTCTACTTCTTATTTTGCTTTTGCCTGTAGCTACCTGCAAGCTTCTTGCATCATGATTTTTAACTTTGAGTGACTTAGAATTCAGTGCAACGTTTGTGAGAAGTCAGCTGAGTTGGAAAAGATGATGAGATACAATTGTAAAGAAATGGTGAATTCTCAGTAGCAATTACGCCATGTTACTGTGGGATGGTTACACTGAGAACTACAAACTAATTTGCAGTTAGGTTGTGTCATTTCCTCTCCTAAGACTGAGAGAGGACTCAACTTCTGGTCATTTTCCCAAGTATAGAGACCTGGTGTAAGTGACAGAGTGAAAGAAATTTAGCCACCTATTCAGAAAAATAGAGGGCAGGCTTCCTGTGAATCTTGATATTGCTCACTTGCTGTTGTTTCTAGTTAAATACAGGTGCTAAGAGTTTAATGCAGACAACTGATGTGAATTATATTTCCCTTTTTCCAAAGCTGGCTCAAAACACTCAGCTGCAGAGTCATTCATTCTTATTTTTCAGCTCACTATTTTAAGGGCTGATGGAATGTGGCAAAGAACAAGATTCTTAATGTCCATGTCCTGGTATTAGTGTTCCTGGGAGAATTTCTGAGACCCTCTGAAATCCAGCATTGTAGGAACGTTGTGAGTGAATGCTGGCCTTTTTCACTTGTATTGTATTCCATATAAAGACCATGAGTGCTCTTTGATCTACAGGTTTGCCAGACCAAGGCTTGCATTCCTAACAGATCTTGGGAAGGCACTATTCACTTCAAATTCTTTGGAAATTCCACCTGAATTCTAGCAAAACTGGATCCGTGTTCCTGCTCTCAGTATGCATGTACCAATTATCTCATATATTAACAAAAGAAAACTTGTTCTGTTGGGATTTGGGGTGGTAGTGATTTACTTTAAAGAAAGTACCATGTTCAGTTCTGTGCTATTTCCTGAACTCAAGTGTGTTTCATATTGTGTTGTACCGTCCTCTTTTATTACTGCTTATATGAATTAATGTACATTTGAGGATCTCTGTCATGTTAACTGTGGCACCTCAGCATAGCACACCACCCATAAAACTGGAAACAAGTTTCTGCTTCCCATTCCACCACTGAATAAGTGTTACTTATTCACTTATTCAGTGAAGAAGTGTTAGATTAAAGATTGCTTGGGATTTCTTCTTGGATACTAAAAAATGTTCATTGTAGACCAAATTCAAATGAAAGGGCAGTGATTTGAAGTGAAAACTGAACACTGGCTGTTGCTCAGAGGCCATTAAACATAAGGTTTATTATCATAAGTTACAGTGCTATTGAGCAATGCTTTGTTCACAGTAGTTTTGAATCACAATCCACCGGCTATCTGACTTCTGACTGACCAGTTAGCTAGGGGACATCTAAAGTCTCCTGTAAAACAGGCTGAAGTCTCAGTTCAGTGTTGCAAGATGATACACCTGACAACTGGCCAAGCTAGGGAGGGGCAGCAGCTTTGAGAAAGACATTTTTATACTTGCCACTCCTTTATCTTTGGTTTTCTTCACT